CTTCTTCTGTCTATTTATTTGTGTTTGATAATGTTCTTAGTTAGAACAAAGCGTCACCCTGATTGATCTTAATAAATCAGTTTAAGAAATGTTAAATAGCTTAGTTTCACTAATGATTTTATTATGGAATGTGGTGCTACCAAATGACAAATAAGTTCTATGTTATATATTTTTCCTACGAATATCGTATTTTGTCAACTATCTCGATGGAATGTACAAGGAAGTTTTCCACAAATACTATCCTAAGAAAAAGCAAAAATAAACGCAGAACGTAAGGTGAAACTAAATCCTCTACATCGTTCAATTCTGAAGACTTCTTCTATTAGAGTTATCTGAATCTTTTTGCTCATGTTTTCTAAGCTCGACCAACGGTCAATGAGAATCCTTATTCACAATTCGTATACAGTAAATATGTGAATTTCTTCGTAATCTGAATAGTTTTTAGATTAAATTCAGATATCATTCATATATCTTATTTTTGTGTGCATTCACATTGCTCGCAGAAGTGATGTTTACTTATTGAGCAATCTTCATCGAATCAATGAATGAATGTGCTGGACGAATTTATTTTCTCTTTTGTTCTTCTCTAACTTTATTCTTTTTTCCTTCCTCTTCTCTGACTTTTTTCTTTTACTTCTTGACTTAAATTTTTCTTTTCTTCCCTTTGCTTTCCTATCTCTCCAATTTGATTAAAACTAACAATCAATTACTAAGCATATGAGATCCGTTCTGTTTATGCCACATACATTTGTCGAATATATATTAACTGAAAATATTACTCTCTTTTGACTTGGCTAGAGTTTCTTATTGGATTATGTAGCTCATTATTAATAATGTTGTATTGCTTGTCATAAAACGAGTTTCAATTAGCTCATATACTGATGAGTTGATAATTTGTGATGAAAACTCTAATGTAGCAATTTTATGTTTGAGAATATTAGGAACTTATAATTTATCGTACGTTTCGAGCTTTGAATATAATCAAAAAATTAGGATTTCAATGTGAAAATTGAGACTTTAAATCAATAAAATCAATCTGTATTTTCTCGATATTCTAATGTTCGTACCAACACATGATTTTGATTCATATGATGTCAACGTTATGCGGATTCTTACTTTAATCAAAGGAATTTTTTTTCACATAATTAAATCTACAGTAAATACTTTTTTGAATTAATTCAGCAGATCAAAAGATAAATGGAAGCTCCAAACGGACTAAATGTCTTTCACGCGTACTGTGAAACAATAAAAAAAAAATACAAATTCACGAGAATATAAATAATTATGGGAACCAGTCCCAAAAAAAAAGATTAATCTACTTTGAGCATTTACAGCTGTTTTCGTTGGAAAAGATGAGCATAAACATTTCTCACTATCTTTTACGAAGAAGAAAATGACTTATATAACCGTTTCAGAGATTATTTAATGTGAAAAACGCTTGGAAACGCTGACTAGATGTAAAAACGGCAAGAAAAGTGATGATCACGTTTTTTCTTGCCGTTTATCACCGTTTCCTAACAGAACGGATGATTATGACAGTTTAAACAGCATTTTCAGCGTTTCACTTCTTCCTGGAATATAGTGCGAGCAAAATCAGTGGATGCCAAACGAAACAGAAAATATCTGCATCATTGCTATCAATATACAAATGTCTTAACATTAGCAAAGAATGCAAACAAACCATTGTATTGCAATCGTTTCTATTCAATCGGTATGGCTTAAAAAATATAGTTAATTTTCCATTGTAGCACAGTTAGATTTATTTTTTCTTCTAACAATGTTGAATTTGAATATATTCAATTCTATATTGTCTTTTCTCTGTTCTTTTTTGATTATATAATCTTCATAACTTCGAATGCTTATTCATGTCGAAATGATAATACAATAGTATCAATAGTTCTAAGCAACGTCAATTCTCAATTAAATCAGCGATAGATCCTTAATATCAATTGAGTATTAATCGTATAATATACATCTCGTCACACCCAACTGATGACGAGTTTCTTGATAGTATAGAAATAATCAAAAACAAAAGAAAAAAAAATATTCTTCAAAAATTTCTATGATCACACAAATATTAGAAACATGAAAGAAAAAAATATAAAAATAAGTGTGTCACATAAGTAAGTAGATCAGGATCGAATTTAATCTTTAAGAAAAGGAGTATATTAACAAATTAAACAAATAGATAATAGAAACTGTCATAATTTGGCACATATAAAAGAAAAAAGTAGCTGCATGTTTTTAAGAATATCAGATGTTTTTCGATTATCTAAAACTAACTGGTCATTCTAATAAAAAAATGTTAGCTTAATCCCAGCGATATTAAAATGTGAAACACAATGTAGCTGCTGTTGCTAATCATGGAAGGATAGTTTTACTCGCCCTATTGTGGGACACATTTCTTCTTCCTGTTATTGAATCTTTGACCAATGCAATGAGAAAGTAGTTCATATATTACAAAGAGATGTTATTGATATGCGATCTGTGATGCCAGAAATGGGAAGTTGTTAAGGATTGCTGTCACGTCTGTGGAGATTAAATCCAAACTTCTATTACTACACTTCAATACTCCTTTTAAATTGTATTTCCTGGATTTTAACGAACCTTAATAAACAAATCTGTGTTCAACGCGTTAATTTACTTTTAGCTGATCTTTCCGCATTAATACACTTTTCTGGCTTTGTAAAACTCGTAAAAGTTTTCAAACCGGTAAAAACGCGTAAATCTAGAATAATTTTGCGTTTTTTAATATGCTTAGGTATCTCTAACGCCGTTAAAGGTATTTTTAGAGGTCTCCTGAAGTTCTACTAAGCAAAATCTTCGAAGGAAAACCGATATTTTATAGTTTTTTTTGCTATTGCAGCAAAAAATTTGATTTGGTCGACAATGAAAGAATATTTTTCAAAAAGTATACATAATTTTTTTCCTAACTACATGACTAGTAAAAGAAAAAAAGAATATTTGAATCAATATTGGGACATAATGTTTTGGATATATTTCAATTTTTACTAATTTTTCCTTTCTTTTTTAACCTAATTTTCTTAATCTTCATTAAAAATAAGTTCTATCCGACATGGCAAAAAATTTTTCGCTCAAGTTTCCAATAGCAGTCGTCTTAAAACTAGCTAAAGAAGTAGACAGAACTCAAACTAATTAATATTTATTATTTTCTTATATATAAAATATAAGTAAAAGACAACAGTAGATCACTATAAAAGTTAATTTTAAAATTTTAATTATCTGTCTCATATTCATCATCATGATTTTGATGACGACAAAGACCAAAATAATCAATTTGAATAAATGTTTTTGTTTGACAACGTTCATAATATAATTGACAACGATTAATATATTGTCTTTTATTATCACCACAAAATAATTCAAATGGACATAATTTCATTGTTTCATTTAAATGACAATTAATACAAATAGGATAATGATATTTATCTTGTGTTTGTATACATATTTCATTTGATTGACATAGATTTTTCGTACATTGTCGATTTAATCGACAAGGTCCACGATATGCTATTTGTCTTGGTTGATTAAATACTAAAGAATTTGATAAATGACATTTATTAACAAATGTTTTACCATATGTATCACATACAGGTGAAAAACCAGTACAATTTCTTTGACGTGATATACAATGTGGTTTAGGAGTCATTACACATATTTCATTATTCGAATAACAACGTGATACTAATGAACAATTTGTTACACATGAACCAAAATAATCAATTTGTAAACTATAAGGATCAAGTTGTTTTGTACATAATGCAAATAATATTTCACATATATTTTCATATGTGAGACCATTTTTTAAACAGAGTGGACCATGATAATCAGAATGAATAATATCACATTGAATATTTGAACAATTCGGTGTATATTGTTGAGATATATTAAATAATTGATCGATTAATGATGGAAGATTTAAACGAACTTTTGGTCGATATAAACTATCGTCAATTGGATTACAATAGGATCGATTGAATAGATCGATTGGTTTACGTGTTACAACAAGACGAGATTGCCAAAATGATATTGTTGATGTTTGAGATGTTGTTGAATTAGTTATTGGTGGTGGAGAAATTATATTTGACTCATTATTTACTAACAATAATTGAGTAGTCGTTGGAAACTATAAAGATATGTTAAAATCAACTAACGACTGAATCGTTTTCAACTGATCAATCACTTTTGAATTCGAACTCTGTGAATATGCTAGACTTTAATGAGGCATAAAAAGCTCCAAAACATATATCTGCTTAGAATTCTGTTCAGAGTTATATAAATTGTATTAGAAGTTTAGTCTCTGGTTTGTTATATACCAACAAATCGAGTGATGATATTGACCACAGACAGATCTATCGGTCCGTAGAATGTCTTGAAAGGTTCCTCTCAAAACAATGTTCCATTGCCCACATGTTAAAGCACCAAGACAATAGAAAACTCTACCATCTTTCAAGCAATATGAGTGATTTTTGAGGCACAACATTCTCAAGAAACATTCTTTTGAGATGAAAATTTCAAGATATTCTACTGAAATATAGGTCTATCTATGGAAAAAAATCTCGAGTCACAATTAGGGGTGGGAAGTTACCGTTACCGTTCCCGGGTAACGGTAACGGTTCCGTTACCGTTCCCGGGTAACGGTAACGGTTCCGTTACCGTTACCTGGGTAACTGGTAACGGGACCGTCACCAGTTACGTTTTCCGGGTAACTTCTCTAGAAAGATGAATTATTACTTCCCATCAACAGAATTTTGCAACTACGTTATTTTTTCAGTTGACCCGTTCCCGGGTAACTGGTAACGGGTAACAGTTACCAGGGTAACTGGTAACTCCAAATTTTTTTTACTGGTGTATTGTCAATCTTCGGTCCAATAGAAGTGATATTTAATCTTTTTAAAAAGTTACCAGGAAAAAGTAACTGGTAACTCCTTCCATAGGAACCGTTACCGTTACCGGGTAACGGCCTGGGAACGGTAACTTCCCACCCCTAGTCACAATACCATCATTTTTATTAGTTAATATATAGCATGCTCGGAACTAAAACTTCAAGAAAATGCCTAAACTCTAAACAGAAGACTTAAGAGAATTTATTCTTTAGAGTTTTTTCATGTCACATTAGAGTCTACTTTTTGCATAGACTTCAAATTCAAAAGTGATTCATCAGTTGAAAATCTGTTCTTATAAGATTTATTTTTATCAAATAATTTCTTAAAAAAAACATAAATCGAAAAAGAATCCTTGTTTTGGAAGAATTAGCATGATATTAGCTAAATCTTAATTGTATAAAATATTTTATGCGTTCCATCTGGCAAAAAGGTCAGAAATTTAATATGCATTGACATCAACTGATTTAACTACTACAATGAACTATAAATGAAACATGAATATATATATATCGGTAACATGATTAAAAGAATATGATTTAAGTTCTATTCATGAAGTTCATATTAATATCTATAAAGAAAAAAGTTTTCATATTATTTTCTATATCAGACCCATTTCTCTCAAGTTTCATTATTACGAAGCACATTAATGTTTGCTAAAATATATTATCATAGTTTTCAAGCTTATAAATATGCAAGTATTGAAACTTCTCTAGAGAAATATCATTAAAATATTAAATGTATTCAAAAATTGTTCTCGATTCGTCCGGTTATCTTTATAACAGAAAAAATTAGTGCATTTTAGTCTTCTCATAAGTTTTAAGAGATTGTCTAAGAAAACATGAACGATATCTCATTTTTTTTCTCTAAACTATGCTCTAGAGAATGTACTCTTCATTTTTTTTGTATTTACTTCATTCATGTATCTGTGTGAATAAATTTTGAAGTATTTTTCGACTCATTCAAAATTTCTAAGACTCTTCATACTTTGATTCTAAAAAGCAAAGGAGCTAGTCAGGTACAAAAAATATGAAAGTACATTTTGTGGAACATTGTTTAAAGGACGAAATAAAATGTTGTTTATGTTTTTCTATTCAACCGTTCAAAACTTATGAGACCAATTAAATGCTTTGAGATGGAACTGCAATCACTCTTCCACCAACAGAACTAGCCAGACAAATCGTTCTTAATTTGAGTTCAAAAAAAAAACATAACAAATTCAATTAATTTGTAGCGTTATTATGAAACAATAAAAACTTCAGAATTTTCTTATCAAAATCTAATATTATATATATATATATTTTTTTTTTTGTAAGTTCAAGATAAGATTTTATTTAGAACATAACTCATGGCAGTCTATATTCATTTATGAGTAGATATGGTTTACATTATATAATTAGTTTCGTGCAAACAAAGCTATCCATCGAGGAAAGATAAAATGATTGTATCCATTGATTGATGCTAAGAAAAAAGTTTTAAGAAAAACTCACAATTTGAATAAAAATTTTTCTTTCAATATCATTCTAATCACAAAATGTTGCATCTCCTTCAACAGCTAGGATTTGTCAAATCCATCATGACCTTTCTTGCACTTCATGAATCATGAAAAAGAAACCTTTCTAAACGTATATATTGTGTCTCTGATGAGCGTGACTTGCATAAAATTTATAATTTATTTGCACTTATTAAGTACACATTTGTCTCTCATATCTATTCTTGTTTTATTTGCACGTGTCTTTTTACTTTTCTATTTGTACTCTACGTGCAGAAACTTCATTTCTCTAGTGAAATTATTTTTATCATGATTAATAATTTACATACCGTACTATTTATATCCCTTTTATATTGTTTAATAATCAATGTAGTATATTTTGATTTCATAAATTCTCGACTTGGTCTCATTGTTGAAGGTAATTCCATGATTTTCGAAGTTGTCTTTTCAAATATATTTGTCCAAGGTTGAAATAAACTTTGTTGGCCATAAAAAGCTTTACAATAATGTTCGGTTATTCCATCTTCCATTCTACAAATTTCATTCGTTTTTATTTTATTAATAATTAATGGTAATGAACATGTACCACATAATGGTGTATATTGCCATTGAAGAAATTTTCCACCTCTATTCCAATCCATACAACCAGAATTAGGACTTATACGAAAGAGTACATAATTATGATCTCGGGTTGCATATTTTAACCATTCATATTCACATCGATGACAATCATCATTAACTTTTAAGAAAAAATCTTGTAAATATGGAAATAAACGTATATAAGAATAATTTAATGGATGATGAAATGAAGAAAAATTTAAGCGTAAAATATGTAAATTAGGAAATTTATCTAATAAAATATTTTCATTACCTAAGTCAGTATGATCAAGTATAAGAACATGTAAACGTTTCATAATTGAACATGATTGATTAGAAAAAAAATTTTCTAAATTTGGTGAAAAATTTGTTAAATGTAAATAAAATAAATTTGATGATAACGAATTAAATGGACATAATGTTTTATTTAAAATTGTTGTTCGATGAAATATTAAAAATTCAAATTTACGAAATACTTTGGAATATTCATTTATATTCCAATTTTTAATAATTGAATCTGTTATTTCAAGTGCTGTTATATCATGAGAATATTTTAATAAATATGGATAAATATTTGAAAGATTTTCAACATAACGACATGTTATCATTTTATAAAATTTTAAAGTAAATTGTTTACCACCTAAACGTATACTACATTCAGTTGTCGAACCAAATACCATTCGATTGATAAGTTGTGTTGAACGAGTTTTAGTATGAAAATGTATTGAATTAGATGAAATTCTATTAATTGTAGAATTAATGACAATTAAGATGATTATTAATGACGAACAATTCATGATCAAATGTTTTGGAACTTCGAGATAAATCAAAATAAAGATAAATAGACAGACCAAGTAACAGACATTCTTTTTTTTTTCCTATTTCTTCTCAACAGTTGTCTATTGAAAAATATTTAATCAGATCATATTACACTACTACTGAAGTAGAAAGCACGAAACACAAACACAGACAATCAATTAAGCCTTTGATTTAGTCAGTAAACAACACACAAGCATCACGAGAGTCAAATAAAAATTTTGACTAGTAATTGAAGATAATGATGAAAAAGAAAAAAAACGTTCATCTGAATCAATAAAACTTAAATTTGTTCGTTTAGCTACTATAGGTGTTGGCCATCGTTGATGTTCTTCATAATGGTGTCGATAATATTTTTGTACATTAACAATCAGTCTCATATTTTTTGTTTGACATAAACCATTATAACGTTGATCAATACCTGACAATTGACCAGATGATGTTGATATAAAATAATAAAGATGTCCATCATCAAATTCTGGTAAATTTGGATAAGGTAAATATTTTGATATTGACAATGTATAAATTAATCGTTGTATATCAAATGGTTTATTACATTTTAATAATGAATTATAATTTGTTGTATTACAAAGATAATAATCATTTTCATTAACAAGATAAAGTGTATTATATTCTACATCAACATCTAAATATTGATCTTCATAATAAGGACAAAGAAAATCTATTAAATCTCCAAGATAAACAGTTAAAAAACCGGATGAATGAAAAATTATATTTGATGAATTCCAATAAATTTGTAAATGTTGTCGATGATGACGATGATTTCCAAAACAAATTGTATAAATTGAAAACATTAAAAGATGAGTAAAAATAAATGTTAATGACATGAGAAATAATAAGACATCGATTAATGTCTATATCTAGAAATAAGATGTTGATTGAGATGAAAATCATATATTCCATATGCATGACTTAAGAATTACATAATCAAAAGAAAATTGCAACGTTTATGATAGAACAAACATTACTCTGCGTGTCTAATAGTCTCGCATTCTTCTTGCATGTTCACTAGATGTACGTGTATGATCATTCGTCAGCTCAAGGATATGTCTTGTTCATTGATTCTATGATTGAAAATATGTTACCTTGTACGAATAACTATTTCGAATAGTCAATAATTTCATTAGTCTGAAAGAAAGAAATGAAATTGTTCTGAAGCATTCTTACATATATATATAGATGCATGTATTGTCAATGAACGTAATAATAATAATAATATCCTTTTGAAAGTATTATATATATTCTCAAATATGTTGATGAAGGTTATTTCAAATGAACGACTTTTAAAGTCTTCATACAGTATTCTTTTAAAAAGCGTGAAAGGTCTTTTTTTTCGTCCCTACAGTTACCTTCTAAAGTTGACGTTATTTATATCTGTTTGCATTGCCAATGACACGTTAAAAATTTGTAAAATTATATTTTGATTTGAAACTTGCATAAATAATAGAGTTTTTCAACATATCTTATTTATTCTTGATAAGTTACATTTAAATCAACAGAAGATCATAGTCAGTTATATATCGTGCCTTTCACATAAATAATATCATCTCAAAATTCTTTGATTTCATAATAAGAAAAAAGTAAAAGTGGTACTCTAGATTTTTTCATATACTCTTCTACAGTTCAATTATCATCAAGAGAGAAAAGAAACAGTTGGTACTCAAATGTGACGAAGAAATAAAAAAAAAACTTATATGTATTCATTCATTCAATATATTATTTGATGATTTTATACTTCATCTCATCATCAATCACACAATTGAATGGATTCACGCATCATCTCCTTATTTATGCAATCTCTTAGTTCTATGTCAGACTATTCAAATTATTTATTTATTTCAGTAGAAAAAAAGAAACGAATTGTGAGTCATTTTATTTCTAATTAAAAAAGAATAAAAACTGTTAATAATAGAATGAAGAATATGTTATATTTTCTCCATAGAAATGACGGAAAACAATTTCCTTTGAATATGACATTCATATTTAAAATTGTCATGATTTTCACAAAAGTAGCATTTCTTCTTCACACTTTTATTCAAATAAAAGAAGAACATTTGTTTTAGATACTTTTTTATTCTACTTTTATTGAAGTATGTCGAATGATCAAACCGAAACATTAGAAGAACGTTTAGATAGACGACGTCGTTTGCATAAAAGAAGATTTCTAGATAATAGAACTTCTGTTGATGAATCAGAAATAAAATTAATTAATCGTAGTCCAAAAACAACACAATCACTTGATCGTCAATCAAGTAAACGTATAATTCCAACAACGTTTATTAATCAACATAAAAAATCTTTACCAATCATTGAAAATTCATATTCAAAATTAAATCATATATTATCTAGTAATCAAAATAATTCAACTGCTCTCCGACCACAATTATCCAAAAATCAATTTTTTGATGCTGAAAATGAGAAACAAGTTTCATCAAAATCTCTTTCCATTCATGAACAGCAACAAAATGCAAAACTTATTATTAACAAAAACACAATTTCATCCGTACCATCATCAGTGATCTCTTCTACAACTAACGCAAAGCCTATTCCCATTCAACAAGATATTGGCGTAAATTCTTCTCCATCTCATGATGAAAAATCTGTGATTACTAAAGAAAATCCTTCATCCATATTTCTTCCAATGGTTCCTCTTACAAATACCAAAAAATCTAATTCGATTGTACAAGAAAGTCATGAAAATCCTACTTCAAATTCAATGAAAGAGCTTTCTCATACGTCATTCGATTATCCAGTGCGTCATTTACGATCCAATACCGATAGTCAACAATATTTGAATTTTACTGCATTGAATTCAAAGCCTATTTCACGTACTAAATCAGAACAAATTCTATTAATAAATAAATCAAAACAACAACCATATGATTCAAAATTTAGTAAACTAAATTTATTAGCACTTTCATATGTATTTAATAGACGTATGGTTAATGTTGAATTAGCACCTACATCACCATTTAATAATGAACAATCACAACGTAAAACGGTTTGGGATTGAATATTTATCAAGTTTTAATCTTTTTTTTTTTAAAGTTCTTGTTTTGTATGCTAATACGTATTCCTGCACGATATTGATCAATCTAAGACAACAGTAAAAAGAATATATATATATATTTTTTTTTGTAATTGAGAATGTAATTACTTTTTGTCAAACAATAAATTTTCAAAAATTCTGATGAAATCATTCAATATTAGAATCATTTGATGAAGATGATAATAAAGCTAGAAATATATTTCCTGATTCATTATTATCATTTTGCTATTAATAAAAATAGAATAAAGATTTATTAAAAATTATTTGTTGTTTTTGTTTCTCTGTAATACAAACCGTAATGATTGTTGTTTCTATGAAAGTATGAGTTCTATTAAATATTTATTTATACAAAAGAATTCAATAATTTAAAACTGACTTTACATCTGTAGTCATAACAGTTGGATTAATACTTGGATTTTCTGTTATTTCTCGAATAAGATTAAAATTATCAGTATGATTATGATTATAAAGTTTTGGTTCATCATAAACAACTGTATTTGTTGAATCCATATCTTAAGTATAAATGAAAGTTCGAATTAGAAGTTTATGTTTTTTTTTTCTTTCTATTCATTTTTTTTTTACTTTGAACATTCAAATAAATATTATATTTTGCCATTCCAATTTGATTTGTTGATGTACAAATAATATTTTGATATATTCTATAGAGAATATGTAACCAACAACAACGCTTTGAACACCAAACAAATGATGTATTCTGAAATTCGGTGACCATGGACCATGAATATGTTGGATATGGAACAGCATCCAAATTACAACAAATTAAATGTTTTGAATATAAATTAACATTAAGTGTACGTTCATAAATATTATCAGGTGATTTAGGAGGATCTTAAAAATAAATCTATGATAAATTTATTAAAAAAGAAACTAATATTCATACGAATAATTGTTAATACGATTCGTTGATAAATAGTTGTCTCAGTTCGACATATATATATTCCAGCATCAGCTATTGTTACTGAATTAATTTTCGTATCTTCATCATATAATGTTGGAAGAGTTTTCATTAAATAATAATTACAAGAAAGAAAATTCCATTGAATAGGTAATGTCATATTTGATGGACAATGAAAATAGACAGAATCACCTAAAATTAATATCAAAAGTTTCAATACGAACATTAAATTTTCAATACCTTCAAAAGCAATACGATATATATCACGTTCATTTGTATTCATTTCAAGAAAATCATTATTTTTTAGATATTCATCTGATAGAAGTGGACTACCTAAATCTATATTTATATTATATTAAAAATATGGCATAGTATTAAAAAAGAACTACAAATACCTTTCTTAATTAGTGTTTGTACACGTATACCAACACATGTTGTATCCATATGTAATTTACAAAAAAGGTGCGTAGTACTTCGAATATGTTTTATAAATAAACCAGTACGATTATAACGAATTGTTTGTTTACTATCAATTAATTCGATAAATTGTTCATTAAAACCATAATTGAAATACATAGGTTGACATATAGTTACTAGGTTTTCATGGAATTCTGTTAGTTTTGTCCAAGTACGATCAATCGAACGTGCACCTATAATTGGAACTAATTAAGTTATTACCAACTCAAACCTTGAGCAAATTTGTTTTTGACATATTCAAACGACGGATTTCAGTCCTTACATTCCTTCATTGTTATTTAGAGATACACAGGGTACACTTTTTTTTCGTACGCTGTAACCTGATTTCGATAAAGTTTCCTATTCTTACCCTACTTAGTGCTTCTCTAATGTTATTTTTGAATATCTTTACATGTATTTCCTTTAAAGTCCAAATTCGACGGAAATTAGTTTTAAGTATTGAGAATACGATTCGATGCAGATTTACGTGCTGATTCTCAATATAATATTCGTTTCATTTGGAACTAAAGTTGTGATTGACGAGATCTTTGAATAAGCACTTGTATTTATAATTTGTTTTACAATCATATCGAGAAAATCGATTTTCTCAATAATCAAATGATATTTTTTCAAAAAGTGTACATACTGTTTTCCTAACTATATGATGAGAAATATCAAAAGAGTACTATGAATAGATATTGAGACTTGATGATTTTTGTATTTTTCAGTTTCTAGAGCTTTTTCCGGCTTGTTCAACCTAATTTCCCTTAGTTTCACTACAAAGACATTATCGGCATAAGTCAAAAACAATTTTACTCAAATTTCGAATCGCAGATATCGTTAGCAAAAAGGTTGTTGGCACAATATTTGCCAGTTTAAAATGTAAAACATAGTGTAACTTTTGTTGGTAATGGCACAGAGATCGTTTTATTCCATCTATTTTTGGATATATTTGCTTCACCATCCTTTTATTAATCTTTAAAAGATACGATAAGGAAGTAGTTCATGCATGATACGAAGATGGTGTTGATGTATAGTCTATGATCGTATATTAACAAGATCTATCAAGTCTTTGAAGAGAGGTCTAAATTTCTACTAGTATATCTCAACAATCTTTTTAGATCGTGTTTCACAAAAAAAACTATGAAATATTTGTCAATTACCATTTGAAAAAATAAAAACACCACGTGAATATAATGATTCATCATTTTTATGACATTGATAGAATCCATCACGATTTTTATCGAACTCATTTAATCGAATTAATTTATCATTGACAACCTCAATTCTTCCATTATTTAAATATAATTTCCAATAAACGTTATTCTTTGAATTGCATTCTAATAAATAAGATTTATCGAACGGTATATAAATAGACGATGGAAATTCTAATCCATTAAGCAATAATTCATCGTCTATAGATACAAACATTCATTATCGAGCAATTTATAATCATGACTTACTTTGAACAGCAATGATTGCAACAAACAATTGACATAGACAAGCAAAGATCATATTTAGTGAGAATACACTTATTAAGCGCAAAATAAGTAACCAAAACAACAGTTAGCTTTTTCTTCTAAATCTTTATTGAGAAAAAAAAGTAATGCACTGTGATAAATAGCAATAATTCTCAAAAACAAAGAACACTAAAAAACAAATTCCGTGGAAAAAAAAAATCACCGTATTTAATAGACAATCAGATTTATCATACAAAATTCAAGACAAATGTTCGTATTTCTCGATTATTTTAAGCAAAATTTTCTTCATCATTTACATTTTTAATTAATTTATAATCCGCAATTCTGTCATCATCATCATCATCAATTTCATCATTATTTAATTGAACATGTGATCTCATTGACATATAAACTAAGAAATAAACAATAATTAATATAACAGCATTACCAGCTAAATGATATGCATAGGACATTGTCAATAATGAAACTGATCGATGAGATTGAGGATCCCAAATAAATAATGGATTTGTTGTTTTAGGCCATATAACATATGCTGCTTGAAGGAACCATGTACCTTGTGTTAAAGCAAAAAAACTTCGTGCAATAATAAACCAAAAATTATTTGGATCAAAACATTCACATAAGGCACCGATCATTGAACATATTATTGTTAAACCAAGTAATTGATGTATATGAGCATCAACCATACTTCGAGCATGTAAGTGAAATATCATCGTTAAACCTTCTATACCAAAAGCTAAGAAACCCATGACTTGTGTGATACGTTTTGGTAATAAAAATTTATAATGAACAAGTATTTCAACCCAAGAACCAAGAAAAAAACCAAAAAGCATTGCTGTATGATGAGCATTTTCATCTCCAATATGAGGTGTTGGTTCTCTGTGGTAGCCAGTAATAAGTTCAATTGAAAAATGAATAGATGTTATGAGAATTTTTATAATACTTTCTATAGGTAGTTGACGAAGCGTTTTACTCGGTAAATAGCCACATGGATATGTTGTTGATCCTCGAAATCTAACTTGTTGTTGTGTTGCTTTTCCAATCATTTCACCATTAGCGAATGCTCTCATATAACGCATACAATTATTTATATGCCACCATAAAGCAAATAAAACAAAAAATACACCTAAAGGAAATTATTTAAAAAAATATTTTTATTTAAACATAAGTAATAATCTTTTTCAAAAACATACCGGGTGCGATATGTCCAATCCAACTTCCCATTTCGTCTTATGTATCAAATCTATTCGCTTTGAAAATTAATTTAAAAACTGTTTTTTCTTATATCGTTTATCTCAATTACGAAAAAAATCTATGATTTCTGTTTTTGTATTTCTTAATAAATATATGTCACTGAAGCAAAAGGGAATTGTGAATAACTTGAGAAAAAGTCGTCAATCTTCAAACTGAAAAAAAAAAAAGAAACAAGAAATTACCGGATTAACAGTTTGATTGAGTAGCTTTGTGATAAGACAATTTATCAAAAAAATTTTCCATCTAATTTATTGAATACAAACTACACATGTATTTTTCTTCTGACATATCTAAAAGATGCAAAAGTAATTATAAATCATAGAGAAGAAATTCTTCTATAATTTTCTCTGCATTTTTTTTTCTTGCTTAAAAAAATGTCTTCTATCTTTCTTTAACAGATATCATATTTAGTAGTTAGTTTTAATTCAATGTCAGATAGTTCTCGATTGCTCTTCTTATATGAAATAAGAAAAAAACACGTGTGTCTCAATAATACCTATCTATTTTAATGATGAAAAACAAGTAACTTCAATCGCTCATTTATACCTGGTTGTTAATGTAATCATGATAATGCAAAAAAAAGAGAAAGTCCAAGATACGTTCTTAAAGATCGCAAAAGAACACCAAGCAATAGTTATTTTTATCTAACAGTCATTCAAGCGTATAATGACGACAAAAAAAACTCCCACTGATTTGGATATGAAAAACAAAAAAAAGAACAGTGTGTATATTGTAAACATCGATAAAAAAAAATATATATGGCTATGATTGTAAACTTAATCTCAGAAAAAAAATTCTAAAACACCTTGAAAAATAACGTGACAAGTCGTATAATCGGATCTTATCATATAAACGGACATAATCAGTATTTAAGGCTTTGACTTCAAATGCAGATATGATTCTAGGTGATTTTAGTCAAAGAAGAAAGAAATAGATGTTATTAGCACATGCTGAATTTGAAATGAAAAACAATGAGAGAAACATAATAGTTGTAAAAGAAAAATAACATCTTTACAAGAGTAAACAATTAATAAAAAAAATACTTGGTAAACTCACGAGAAAAAGATTCTCAAAGAATATGATGTTCGCTTGTTATCGTAATTATATATCAAAGGAAGAGTCTGCTCACAGTAGGTGTTGACATGGAGAAATTCATTATTACATAATGACTTGCAATTTCTTTTACATGAAAATGTCCTTGACTAACTGAATGTAGTTAAATAATGGGTAGATTAAATTTCAATAGAAATATTTGAATTTTTTATGTCAATAAATATCTAAGTTTAGCTTGAAAATGAAGTGGAAATAGGAACGTTTTGTTGATGATAGATCAGTTTCCAAAAAGAAAAAACGTTCTTTTGTTCTATTGACAGATATATAATTAGCTTTTCAAACTAATCAGAAAAGTATCATTTCTTTATATAATAATTAAATTTTTTTTTAACGAAATGATATTCTGTACTCTTTAAAAGAAAAAAAGAAGCCAATCACATTAAAAGTC